TTCAAAGTGAACCAGTCCAGTGTGTTTATGCAAATGACCTAAGAACGCTCATCCTGATAGGCTGGGATTGTTCAGAGGTCTGGAACCTTTTAGGACACGATGTGGATCAATTTGTTCTAGAAAATAGCAATTAAAAGAAAAACCTCCAAAAACAAAGGTGTGAGACTGTGAACCAATCAGGACTAGTTCTGTATTAAAGGGCCAGTGTGCGGCGTTGATATCCATAACTATGTTTCCAATAGTGTCCAACGACCTGAAACTAATAATCTTTGTGTCTTTGTTAACGAAGAATGAGTCGTCTATATCTTCACGGAGTCCGCAATGTTTCTAAGGTACTTTCACGTTGTAGTTCTCTACACGGTTGGCATACTGCAGAAGTTTCAGTTGGTCGCAATGTGCAACGTCACCACTAGATGGCTCTAAATCCCGTACGCTGGCCCTTTAAACTACAACTCGCATAGATACAAAACAACTCAATCTGTAAGCAGCATGAAGTCTTTCCAGCCACACCAGACATGTTCACTGGAGACCAGTCTGTAATGCATCCATGCTCCATTCCCACTGGTTATTATAGGATGCAGCTTTCTGATTGGTCAGACAATGTGCTGTGAAAGAAGCTCTAAATAGAAACCAATGAACCCAAACTACATTTACCATGATGGTAAAGTCTGCAGACAATGTTTTTGGATGTGTGTGTGAGTGTGTATAAAAATAAATACAAAAACACACACACACACACACACACACACACACACACACACAAAGTGGCTGCAAGCAAACAATCATTTCTCTCTCATTCCTTCACTGTTTCTGTTTTTTCCCCTAAATTGGGCACAAAAACAAGCACTTCATGTGTGTGTGTGTGTGTGTGTGTGTGTGTGTGTGTGTGTGTGAGTGTATAATGAGGCATATAATGAGAGGCCTTGGCCACATTCATCACCTTTTAAAGGCAACAGGAAACACACACACTGGAGGGCATGGAGGGAGAGAGAGAAGAGGCAGAGAGAGAGATGAGTGAAAGATGAGGGAAGTACGACAGGAAGATGAGGAGAAGAAGAAGGAGAAGGAATGATGGAAACAAAACAAACATCGTGAGGAGAGAAGAAGTAGAGAAGTAGAGCTAGAAAACACTGGAGGAAAGAAAGAGAAAGAACAGATGAGAGTGTTGTCTTTGTTTAAAAGTGGGTCACAGAGAAAAGACATTTAGTAAATCTACAAATCTACATAGTTTATTTATGTGAAGTCCTTCATACTACATGACAACGTGTGTTTGTCTTCCTAAATCAACCTCAGTGTCGTCGGATTGGATACAGCTGCTGTGGTTTTAAACTGTGGGATTCCTGCTTGAATTAATCCCTTCATACTAAATTACTACAAGTTAAATTCAAAGGTTGTGTGTTTGAATCCCACCAAAGTTGACATTTAAGTATTGCAATTCATGATAAAAAGCAGCAGTGAACATTCCTGCTTTGATGAATCCCTTCATGCTAAGATAAGAGGAATTTACCACAAATTAAAGTCAAAGGTTGTTGGTTCGAGTCCCACCAGAGTCTAGCTTTACATGCAGAATAATGTGAACCTTTACATTGTGGCATTATAGGTTGGATTAATCCCATTTTTCTTATATTTTTGGAAAAATGATTGCTGACAGACTGGATGTGGGACACCTGCTTGAACTTATCCGTTCATGCTTAAAATAAGGAATTTTCTACAAATGAAAGTCAAAGGTTGTGGGTTCGAGTCCCACCAGAGTTGACCTTTAGATACTGCATTTCATGACAAAAGGCAGCAGTGAACTTTCAAGATGCTGCTTCATGCTAAAATAAGGAATGTACCACCAATTAAGTTCAAAGGATGTGGGGTTTGAGTCCCACCAGAGTCAAGTCTTGCATGCAGCATGGTGTGAACCTTTACTTTGTAGTATTATAGGTTGGATTAATCCCATTTTTCTTTTTCTTTTGGAAAAATTATTGCTGCCAGACAGTGGCTCTGTGGCGCAATGGACAGTGTGTTGGACTTCTAGTTGGACTCTGAGAAAGCAATTCAAGGGTTGTGGGTATGAGTTGACCTTTAGTTTGTGATAAAAGGTGGATGTGAACTTTTAAGATGTAGGACTCCTGCTTGAATTAATGCCTTCATGCTAAAATATGGAATTTTCTACAAATTAAACTCAAAGGTTGTGTGTTCGAATCCCACCAAAGTTTACCTTTACACATTGCAGTTCATGATAAAATGCAGCAGTGAACTTTAAAGATGTTGGATTACTGCTTCGATAATCCCACTAATTACCACTAAACTCAAAGGTTGTGGGTTCGAGTCCCACCAGAGTGGACTTTTAGTTAATGATGAAAGGCAGATGTGAATTTTCAAGATGTGGGAATTAATCCCTTCACGCTAAAATAAGGAATTTACTAAAAATCAAACTCAAAGGTTGTGTGTTCGAATCCCACCACAGTTGACCTTTAGGTATTGCAATTCATGATAGAAGGCTTAAATATTGCTGAAATAAGGAATTGACTATGAGTTTAAGATTTAAAGCGGCCTCATCTTATCTTAATATAACCGTTTAATCTGAGGATGAAACCAGAAACAATAAACTCAGAGCTGTAGAGTCTGACAGAGAGGAAGTTTCTCTCTTTATTGAATCCTGTTTTCTTTATTTGTCTTTCCCTTCTTGTTCCCCAAATCAACTCTGCGACCCAAAAATCACCTCCTCCCCTTTTTCCTCCTTCTGTCGTCTTGTCCTTTTTCTTCTCCTTTCCTTGTCTCCTTCCTTATGCTCCTTCTCTCTTTCCCTTTAACAATTTTCATCCACATTTTTTCAACTTCCTCCCCTTTTGTGTCCCCCAATCTCCCTTCAACCCCAAAGTTTTACCCCCCCCCACTCATCTTTTCCCTACCTCTTACCCCTCTTGTCCCCCCAGCCCCCTCACCCCCCCAGACATCTGTTCCTCCCCCATCCCGATCCCCCGAGAG